AACAGCGAAAACGTAGGGAAGCGGATGGCAATGAATTCATCCCAAATATGTATGCTATTGAAGCATTCTTGAACTTTATTTTGTTTCTCTCCTATTGGATTCTTAACAATGTCGGTGATTTTTGATACAATTGAAAATGTTCTAAGGATCACATTGATTGAGAAGAAATCGTAGTGTTTCTGGTGATCATATTTTTCGATTTTTTTTCATCGGTGATCAATTTCTTCACAACAGTACTTATCATAACTATTGCAGACGTGGCCACGATGAAATCGATGACCTTACACAACAACTGCTGCAAGGTCTGAATACGTCTTCACGAATTTAATGGCCAATTTCTTCTTCCTTTTTTTTCATGATGTATCAGCACCTTACAAATCTGAGTATTCTCTTGCCTTGTTTGTAAGCAGTAGAAGAAAATGATCAACGATTACATGAATGCTTATCAAATCACCTATTAGACATCCGTCATACCTGTAAGCACTTGGTCGCCTTTTTTGAGTGGCTGTCTAGATTTTAAAGTGATATAAGCTGGTATTACATAAGTGAAAGGTCCAAAGCAGAAATAGGATCCAGCTATGAACTTCAGACAGCAATGTTTCTCTCCGATTATTTCCTTCAACTCTTGAATGTATTTCTCGCTGTTACATGGGAATGCCTCTTGGATGGCTTATTCCCGCGTATTTCTTGGGAAGACTGCTTGCTGTGCACCTGTCAATTCTATGGATGTTTTATTGCATAGGCTGGGCAGAAATAAAGTGAGAAAATGCATGTAACTGTTATTTCTCATTATGATGTCATGGCTTAAAGGCAAGATTCAGGATTGAATTATGAGGTAATTCCACTCAAATGTGAAAGTAGGGGTAGGTAGTGGACCGCCAGTGGAGAAAAAGAAAAAAAATCGTGAAATACACAGGAAATACGAGCCTTTTGCTCTACGCTGCGGAGAAGTTCAAAAGGCCGGCAGGGAGATGAGAGATAATGTGAGCGCGGAGAGCGGTAGAGAAGTCCGAGTAGAGAGAGCATAGCAGATCAACGCAGACAAGATATCGAGCGGTGGGCGGAGCGTGTCGCACAGGTGGAGCGTGTCAAAGTTCATGGCGCCTAGCGTCCTAAA